AGCTGCATTGAAGCAGTTCTGAGTTGCATGAGGATTTTGTTCTTGAAGTTGCTTTCCTCAGCCTCAGCATGTGGAAAAAAACACCATATGAAAGCACATGCCATTCTTATGTGACTTTTAGATGCTCCAGAGGCTACATAAGAGCCTGGCCCTTTTGCGTGAGTTCTGGAAGGTTCGGAGGCTGTACAAGAGCACACCCCATTCTCACATAGCCTCATCCAGACACATGTCATCGGTTCACCATCACTATTCTAGTGCCTTGTTGTTAAAGTACAGTTATTTGAACATAATTACAATGAATCCAAGTTGATGGAATGCAAAGCTACGAAAATGCTTTCATGGTACTTGATAGGTTTCCTAGAGATACTAGATGGGATCATATAAGAATTAGGATGATACGTTAGAACAACTTTTGGTTTAATTAAGTAGGATGCTATAGTATAACTTTCATGCTACCCAAAATTTCTGACAAATTTCATGCAGTTTATAATGGAAGTGACAAGATTCCTCTGTTTTTTTAATAAAAACCAATACTTTTAAATAAGCAGTGAGGGGATTTGGCATTGTGCTCTTTTCTGGAACTTTACCAGTTTTCCAGAATTTATTGAAGAAAATACAAAAGATTTGAGTAGACTAATAACTGGCTCCTTTAGTATCCTAGGATACATTTAAGTTAGCCTTGGAGATTAGTTACAGTAAGAATCTTCTGATTGGAGTTGTAAATATTTTGGGGGAAAATACAATTCTATCTAGTGCACCCACTCATAAAAGTATATTTAGCAGTGACTGAATGCCACTGATTTGTCCTTTTCATAATTTATGTTAAATACTCAGATTTTTCATTTTTCCTGATAAAAACAGAACGATATCAGTATTTTTGCCAAATATCAGTCTAAACCACAGCTTTTCGGAAAAGAAGAAAAGGAAAACAATTTTAACAATTTTGCTGGAAGATTCAAAGGAGTCATGGAGCAATTTGAAGAAAATAAGAAAAAGATCAAGGAAAAATATGATAAGTATGCAAACATTTCTGCAAGCTAGGAAATTATTTTTTTCTCCTATTAAAAATAATAATATTGTACAACTATATAAGCTCAACAAGAAATAGTCAATGTTTTGTGACGTATTGTGTGTATGCTTGTTCTTATCCCTCCCTTTCTATTCAGGTGAGTACCTTGGTCCATTAAGAAAAAATTTAAAAACAGAACAAAAGACAAGAATCTATAAAGTTAAAAATTAACTAATCCACCTTTTGTCCCAAAGGTGCTTTTCCAAAAGGAAACTTTTTGACTTTCTTGGGTTTTTTCCCTTAAAAACATTTCACTTTTCATTCAAGGAGCTTCTTCTAAATGATGGGAATGGGAGGATTTAAATACTTTTCAGTCATCTGGCCATTGGCACTCTGAGAGTGGTTGAGGCCACTTGGGGATTAATCTGTATTCTCCGAGTCACCTGAACCAGAATGTAAACGAATGTGGAACCTTTTTGGGACTGCTGAAAGGACAGTGTTATAAACAGGAGACAGGTGATAGGTCATATCCCTCCCCCTATATTGAGAGAGGGCTGATCAATAGAACGGTTAGAACTGAAGAAGCTTCTTGAATGAGAAGCAAAAAAAATTAGGAAAAAAAAGTCCAGTTGCCTTTTGGAAAAGCACCTTTGGGACAACCATGACCTGGATGACAGAGAATCTCCATAGACTTTAATCCACCTGTTGGAAGAGATATTCAGGTAGACTTCATCACCAACTATAGTAGGGATTGGCAATTCCGTCGCTAAGCAGTGTGGTTGTTAAACGTATATCACTTGCCTGTGCTAACTTATGACATCGGTCCTGGTTGCAGCTGTTAAGTGAAACACTGCAGGTGGTTAAGTGCAATTTGTGACCTGCTAGATTCCTTTGCTTTCAGAAGCTGGCTGTGAAAGTTACAAATAGCAATCATGTGACCACAGAACAGTGCGATGGCTGCCACTTGGAAGAGCAGTCATAAGTCTTGTGTTTCATCAGCATTGTAACTTTTAACAGTCACTAAACAAATGTTCGGTAAGCAAGGACTGCCTGTACAGTTATCAAAGTGCACAGTGAGGGGACCAAGATCAGCCCTCAGATTCCAGGGAATGCATTGCAATGTAAAAGAAGACGCCCTTCTGCATGCCAAATTCTATGAAACAGGGTACATCATTAATGGGGCATTTTATGTCACCTGAATTTGGATGAGAAATTGTCTAATAGGAAAGTACACACTAAAAGAAAGTACACACTGAAGTAGCCTTTGGAGTTACAGAGAATGACAGCATCTTGCAACAATGGCTGAAATTGTTCAAAGAAGGACTCGCATCCTATGATTTTATCCTTACTGTCTGCAAAAAAACCCATAAATTAATGGGAGAGGAATTGTGTCTTTGCTACCAGGAAACTTCCATTCTGTTTGCTGGTGTATGTAATATATGTATGTATTTACATAATAAATACATGCATTGAGAATGTGCTCTAGGATTGGTAGTAAGTTGGGAGGGGGACACATATTGAATGATGTCTGTGTACTTTCTTGTTGGTCATTGCTTGTTTCATTGTATACCGTGCATGTTTTCAATTTTTTTAGATCTGTAGACGTTAGAAAGACTGAGGGTCAAATTTAAACTGCTTCCTGAGGAATTAGAGATGAGAAATGCTTGTAAATACCAGTATATGTATATATAGAGATGTATATGAGCTCACTGGTTCTATTTATCTTTTCTTGTTAAATTCTGCATTTAATTAATCTGGCTGGTTAAAACAATAATTTATACAACTGCTGGCATCTCTGCTTTAGTGCTAGCCATCTGCCATCATTTCAGAAAGCTCCATCAGCTTGGGATTCCTACTAATGGAATTTATTTGGCTGTAAAAGTGAATATTTCATAAATACTTTAATATGGAATTAAGGCATTTCCAAACCATATATTATTGTTTATTGCACAAATAATCTCGTAAGATTCTCCTAGTCTTTCCTATTCATTTTCTTCTGATTAATGTACATATGAAGTTTGTAATTTCCCAATGTGTCTCTTTCAGTGACCTTTTAAATGCTTTTATTTTGAACACCAAAGAGAATCTTCAAAAGGTAAGGGAAAGTTTGATTGTCAAAAGTTGAAAGTAGGGGTGGGAAAGTTGCACTACATTTTGACATTTTGTCTTACTACTATGTGATCCAATACAATTGCAACTTCTCTATTGATTCGACTGAAAACATTGAACACTCAGAACATATAATAAAAGAAGTGAATACCCATCAGCCTACAACATTATTAATTTATTTTTCAGTTGCAATCCTCCTTCAATGTGTTAGAAGAAACTCTGAAGTCTATTTTGAATGATTTGGGAAATATTTCTAAGACAAGTAAGTATATGGAATATTTCTGTATCCAGTGGAGAATAAAATCAAACGAGTTGCTGTACTGACACATTCCATTGTGGGAATATTTTCTGATGGTATGGTTTGCCCTGGATAATCTATATCTATGGTATATCTATATCTATCAAAGTCTGTCTGTCTATATCTATCCATCCCTCCCTCCCTCCCCCCCTCCATCCATCCATCCATCCAT